CAATCACATGGTGGGAATGATCACCATCAACCGCAACAGCAGCGTAATTCGTATAGGAGGGGAAATGGCGGCCCACACCATGGTTCTTACCAACATGGATATGGGGGGCGACGTGATCAGGATCGTGGGAATCAGGATTGGAATCCTCCGCGAAATTTTAGCGGCAGAGACACCCACATGCAGCCGCAGAGAGGTTTTCCTAGGGGCTTTATACAACCCCCTCCTCATACTACTGCAACTTTTATACCTCCCCCACCTCTGCCGGTTCGGCCATTTGTCAGCCCTATGGTGTATCCTGGTGAGATTAGTTACTATTGAAGCATCAAGCTTTGAATAATTGGTTTTGCTCTGATGGTTTTTTACATTTGTCTTGTAGATGTGGGATCTCCTTTCTTTTATGTTGGTCATCCGGAGTCCCTTAGAGGTGTGCCATTTGTTCCGCCACTGCCGCCTATGTTCTTCCATGTTCCGGATCCCCAGTTGCATTCTAAGATAGTAAATCAGATAGAGTATTATTTCAGGTATTTTAATTTATTTGTTGGCATATTCCAAAGATAATGATATCAGTTAATCACATTTAATCATATTTGGGAGCTTAACAGCTAGTATACCTCTTATTTATTTATTGCAGCAGTGACAATTTAATTAAAGATACATTCTTGCGGGAAAACATGGATGATCAAGGCTGGGTTCCAATTAAATTAATAGCAGGCTTCAAGAAAGTGAGTTTTTGGGACGGTTAAGAGGTTTCCTTTCTTGTTTTGGTTGCGATTAGAGTTACTTTATCTCCTCTTGGTATGGATGATTCACAATGATTGGTTTCTCATGCATCTTAAATTACTCAGCACCTTTGTGTTTAGATCCGCCATAGTTTCCACAGGATCATATAATTCATTGTCAATTATATCGAATTAAAAATTTGAGTATTAGTATCTAAGTGGATTTTTGGTGGCATAATATTTGTTGCATCTGTAGAAGCTACCAAGCACTTCTTTTCAAATTGGAATTCTGATTATTAATTATGCTGAGCTATAATATTTTTTCTTATTTGGGCTTTTTTGCCTTTCTTGCATAAGANCTAAGTGGATTTTTGGTGGCATAATATTTGTTGCATCTGTAGAAGCTACCAAGCACCTCTTTTCAAATTGGAATTCTGATTATTAATTATGCTGAGCTATAATATTTTTTCTTATTTGGGCTTTGCCTTTCTTGCATAATATTTAAGGTGCTGATTCTTCAACTGCAATATGCCAATATGTTTGATTTTCTTCTAATTGTTGCTATTGTCGAAATGTACTTTCTTCGTGGGACGTTGTTATGATTTTTTTGAATCTCTATCGCACTGTGTTTGAGAAATTTACTCCCTGTTACTTCTTGTTACACCATTTTTAATTTCCCAACTTTCTATATTGTGGTAACTGAAACATTCCAGGGATTTTCATTGTGATTGTCTGCATTTTTGGCATTTTTTCTGCTGGGTGTCTTGTCTTTGTCATGCCCAAAAGGAGTCTTACTTTAGCTGTTTATCAAGGCTGTTTGATGNGCAGTCATTGTCACCTACTACAACTATCATCGTCTTCTATCATTACCACTGTCGCCCGCCACCTCTTACTCTCACTATAAATCGATGTTTAAATTCATTTATCTCTTATCTATGTTTGTGATTTAATTTTAAATATTAATACAAATATGTTTATTGTTTACTATTTTTTATTATTCTATGCATTTATGAACAAGTAATAACTAGTCTAATTATATTATAAAATTAGAAGTAACCTGTATCTGAATGCACAGTGCAATATAAGTAAAAAGTGATGAATTTGGAGAAAAAAATTCAATGTAAATAATTTTGAGATGAATGTTGGTGGCTGTTGGATGAGTTTATTTGAAACTGTTGGATGAACTTATTGAAATCTATCCTNTAATTTTGAGATGAATGTTGGTGGCTGTTGGATGAGTTTATTTGAAACTGTTGGATAAACGTATTGAAATCTATCATNAAGTGATGAATTTGGAGAAAAAAATTCAATGTAAATAATTTTGAGATGAATGTTGGTGGCTGTTGGATGAGTTTATTTGAAACTGTTGGATGAACTTATTGAAATCTATCATGTTTTATATTGTAGATTATTATTTTTTAATTTCTTAAATAAATTGATTAGATAGTTAATAATATTAGTATATTATTGCATACTAACATGTTTTGTATATAATTGAATTTGTAATAAATGAGTTTAAAAAAATTTATAAGTTTTTATAAAAGAATTCAAAACTAGTTAAAAGTCAAATAAAAGTAAAAAAAAAAAAAGATGAAACTACATAAAAGGGTATAATCGACCTTATAAAAATAATTATGGATAAAATCAAAAATCAAAAATTTTTCATGATGGTGACACATATATATTATCTTATGAAAAACATTAAAGGTATTATTTTACTTTTATACTGGGGGTAACCCATTCTTTAAGGTTCTATGTAATTCTTGATAAGAATGTTAATGGTCGTTGAATTAGCATATTTGAAATCGTCGGATGAGTTTATTGAAGTAAATATATATATATAGTATAATCTTATGATAAACATTAACGGTGTTATTTTACTTTTATACTAGGAATAACCCGTTTTTGAAAGTACGATGTNGTTTATTAAAATATATATATATATATATATATATATATATATATATATAGTATAATCTTATGATAAACATTAACGGTGTTATTTTACTTTTATACTAGGGATAACCCGTTTTTGAAAGTACGATGTAATTCTTGAGAAAAATGTTAGTGGTCGTTAGATAAACATATTTGATACCGTCGGATGAGCTTATTGAAGTCTGTCATATTTTATATTTTAAATTTTTTTTTTCTAATAATAATATTGTTAGAACTTTTTGTTATTTATATACTGAGTTGGGATGAATTTATATTTTTTTCCTTGGGTGTAAAATTATGTAAATTTAGTATCATCATCTTTTCTCCCCCCTGGACCCATCCCACCCTCCACACATTAAAAAAAATAAAGAAAAATAAAATCATTAAACTACAACGCGAGTTAAAGAAGTGTTGCGTCCGTTACAATTTCTATTATTAAATTCTAAATCTCTAAAAAATGTGACACTTCGATATTTATGGAATGATTAGTGAAAATTTGAGAGATCTGTTCATTCCATAACTCATATTTATTTGTTACAAAAAGTTTGATTATTCCATAACTCATATTTATTTGTTATAAAAAGTTTGATTTTTAGTAGATGTAACAAAAGTACTATATCCATCTAGATATTTTTGATGGCTAGCAATGCATAACGATGTGTATGACCGTGAAAAAATTTAAATAATATATTTTTATAAAATATATATATAGTTAAATTAAATAATAAATAAATTAAGTGCCAAATAATTAATTCATATTTAAATTATTACTAAATTTAATTATTATTTTGTCCTATAAGACTTTGAGTACCTAATATGCTTATCTCTTCGTCGATCCCTTTATGCATAATCAATATATAATCTGACAACTACGTGTAATTTAACATATATAGAACTTATTTTTTTATATAGATATAGAACATTATATATAAATGTATTATTAATAAATGAGTTTAAAAAAATTTAAAAATTTTTATAAAAGAGTTCAAAATGAGTTAAAAGTCAAATATGAATAAAAAATAAAAATTAGATAAAAATATATAAGTGGAAACAATTAACTTTATCATAATAACTGAGATAAAATAGGAAATTAATTTTTTTTCGTAAATGCTGATATTTAGAAGAAGTATATAAATATAAATATAGATATAATTAACTTATAATTTTAAGTAATAGATTAATGTAAAAATTTTAATATATATATATATCTGCATCATCAATGACGAGAGCAACTCATTAATGCGTACATCAGAAAGGAATCCGATTCATGTAATCCCAGGTTAAAAAAAGGGCAAATGGACAAACCAATGATCAATGTTACCGTTAGTTGCCGGTATTATAATAATAGGGAGTTATAGTCCAGAAAAAATAATTACAAAGATTAAATGGGTAAAAATATAATTCTCAAAACCTGTGACAGAGCCAAGCTAACCTCACAGTCCAATGAATGATCACCAGTGACCATAAAATAGCCAGGTTGGCCAATCGAAACCGTGGCCTTATACTAACTACCTCAACGCTGCTTATCTTAACACTCTTTGGTTCCAATTGTACCTGAAGGTTAATTTACAATTTGCACCATTCAAATATGATCTAATCTCTATTTGTACCATTAAGTTTTAATAATAACACTCAAACCCCAAAATTTTTTCTGAATACTAATTTGGTCCTTACACCAGCCATTCATGTTAGAATTAAGATATTCATAATGAATAAATCTTTTATAATTTGGTCCCAAGGGGTTGCAAGATTCGAACTCAAGAAGTTTGATTTCGAAGGAATGAACAATTTAAAGATTTGATTATTGCAATTGAAATTCTCTATGGACCAAATAAGAAGTTAGTGTAAATTATAGGGGCATAAATTATAAATTGTAGTTCAGTAAAAAGATGCCAAATAAAAGGGTGTTTTTGACCTGGCGAAAACCGGGTATCCCTAGCAAGGAAGGAATAGGTAGGAGGGAGAGAGAGAGAGAGAGAGAGAGAGAGAGGAAGGAAGGAGAGAGGAGGCTAGCCTCTTGTTGTGTTTTACAGTCTCCGTACTCGTAAGAGAGATCGGATCCTGAGTGATCCGTTCATTCCAATCTTTGGAAACTCAATCTGCTTGATTCTCTCACTGATCAAAACTTCTTTGGTCTCCAAATTGATTCTCCATTCTTCTCTCTCCATCTCTGAAATTTTGATCGATTCGATTTTGTTTCTTGTTTTTTTTGGGTTCTGTTTATTTGTTGATCGGCTTGTCGGCACTAATCGAAGAGCTATTTGGAATCTCTGATTCGTAGAGATCTTCAAAACTCAAAACCCTAATTTTTGAATTATCCGATTCCAAAAAAAACCTATTTTTTTGATGGCTACAGCTTCTAATCCTACTGCTCCTCCGACTACTCATTCGCCGCGGAGTGCTGACTCCGCCGCCATTAATAGTCCGCGATCCCGGAGGTCTGAGGCGGCGCGTGGTGTTCCATCGCCGTGGACTCAGATTGTTCGCGGTGGCGATGCCGAACTGGTTAACTCTCCCACAGCTGCCTCCGGTGCTGCCGTTGCGGCTCCTTCTTCGCCTTCTTCACCTGGTGCTGTCCACGGACAAATCGTGAACTTTTCTTCTGATTTGTCGCCTTCGAAATCGGCAACAGTTGCTGCTTCGTCTTTTGTTTCGCCGGAGGATACCGCTGCTGAGTCTCAGCCGGAAGGACCCGATAACAGCAGTGGCAGTGGCAATGCGGCTAAGAAGCCGGCTTGGAACAAGCCGTCGAATGGTGCTGTGGAAGCCAGTCCGGTTATGGGAGCTGTGTCTTGGCCACCTCTCTCGGAGTCCACTAAGGCTTCTCCGAAATCCTCTTCGACCGATTCATTGAAAGCTCTATCTGATGGATCGGTTTCTTTATTACAGGTTATTTTATATATAACTGGAATCGCAAAAAAGTTTGTTGTTTCATCCGTTATATTTGCGTTGCAGTATATTATTCTGTTTATGCTTACATGTTGCATACAATTCGCTTTGCTTGTATATGTGGCCCGAAATTAAAGAAAAAACAAGACATTTACAGTGGTTATTTATGTCTCTGTTATAGGGAAGTGAAATAGCATCATCTTCTTCACACAAACAAGTAAATAATCCAAACCCTAGTTCAACTCCAAACCATGTGGGGCCCACACGCCAGAAGTCTATGAAGCGTGGCAGTGGAGGTTCAAACAATAATGTATTAGCTAATGGTGTCTTTCCTCAGCCACCACCACCTCAAGGTCCAGTGGTGGAAGGCCCTCCTAGTAACTTCGGAAAATCTGGTAGTGAGCATACAAACAAGGAGACTGGACAAAAGGGAGGTTTTGGGTCACAATCACATGGTGGGAATGATCACCATCAACCGCAACAGCAGCGTAATTCGTATAGGAGGGGAAATGGCGGCCCACACCATGGTTCTTACCAACATGGATATGGGGGGCGACGTGATCAGGATCGTGGGAATCAGGATTGGAATCCTCCGCGAAATTTTAGCGGCAGAGACACCCACATGCAGCCGCAGAGAGGTTTTCCTAGGGGCTTTATACAACCCCCTCCTCATACTACTGCAACTTTTATACCTCCCCCACCTCTGCCGGTTCGGCCATTTGTCAGCCCTATGGTGTATCCTGGTGAGATTAGTTACTATTGAAGCATCAAGCTTTGAATAATTGGTTTTGCTCTGATGGTTTTTTACATTTGTCTTGTAGATGTGGGATCTCCTTTCTTTTATGTTGGTCATCCGGAGTCCCTTAGAGGTGTGCCATTTGTTCCGCCACTGCCGCCTATGTTCTTCCATGTTCCGGATCCCCAGTTGCATTCTAAGATAGTAAATCAGATAGAGTATTATTTCAGGTATTTTAATTTATTTGTTGGCATATTCCAAAGATAATGATATCAGTTAATCACATTTAATCATATTTGGGAGCTTAACAGCTAGTATACCTCTTATTTATTTATTGCAGCAGTGACAATTTAATTAAAGATACATTCTTGCGGGAAAACATGGATGATCAAGGCTGGGTTCCAATTAAATTAATAGCAGGCTTCAAGAAAGTGAGTTTTTGGGACGGTTAAGAGGTTTCCTTTCTTGTTTTGGTTGCGATTAGAGTTACTTTATCTCCTCTTGGTATGGATGATTCACAATGATTGGTTTCTCATGCATCTTAAATTACTCAGCACCTTTGTGTTTAGGTCCGCCATAGTTTCCACAGGATCATATAATTCATTGTCAATTATATCGAATTAAAAATTTGAGTATTAGTATCTAAGTGGATTTTTGGTGGCATAATATTTGTTGCATCTGTAGAAGCTACCAAGCACTTCTTTTCAAATTGGAATTCTGATTATTAATTATGCTGAGCTATAATATTTTTTCTTATTTGGGCTTTTTTGCCTTTCTTGCATAAGATTTAAGGTGCTGATTCTTCAACTGCAATATGCCAATATGTTTGATTTTCTTCTAATTGTTGCTATTGTCGAAATGTACTTTCTTCGTGGGACGTTGTTATGATTTTTTTGAATCTCTATCGCACTGTGTTTGAGAAATTTACTCCCTGTTACTTCTTGTTACACCATTTTTAATTTCCCAACTTTCTATATTGTGGTAACTGAAACATTCCAGGGATTTTCATTGTGATTGTCTGCATTTTTGGCATTTTTTCTGCTGGGTGTCTTGTCTCTGTCATGCCCAAAAGGAGTCTTACTTTAGCTGTTTATCAAGGCTGTTTGATGTTATAATATCTTGTATACGTTGTATTTCACTTGTGTTTTGCTTCATTTGGTGTTCAATGTAGTTCAAGTATGACAATCTCTCTCTACATATATTTATGTGGTAAGTCAGCACGCATGAATCCATTATATACTCACAATTGCACATAGGTAGGGTATCAATGGTGACTTTTTGTTGGTCTAATATTTTATGTTTAAACAGTTTAGTGCCTTGTCTCTGGAGTGTCCTTTTGGATTTAAGGTTCAGAATTTAATCTGCATCTGTTATGGGGCATGGGTTTGTGTCTTGAATGGACATAATTCAATCAGGATTCATTTGTTTTGGGCTATGAACTCTCTCTTTAATGCAAGATTTTCTCTCTTTTGGATTTGCAATTATTAAATATAGGAGCTTCTTTTTTTTTTTGGTTCCCCCCCCCCCGGGGGGGGTGTTTGCATTTCTGAGGCAGGCTTTAAAGAAAACTGATGATGTGGGAGACTTATTAGTCCATCCTTGCATACTTTTTCCCCATTCCTGTATGTGTTGTGGTAAGTAGATCTTTGACTAGTTCTAGAGGGATTAGCTATGGGAATCCTTGTTTCCCTTCGTCTAACTATGCATTGCAGAACGGATACATAGTGTGCTTCTTTAGTCAAGATATTGGAGCTGGCTTTACATAGATATTCATGGCAATCTTACTCGTGCCTACATCTACATACTTTTTTGATTTAACGACATTATTCTAGGTCCTTGGAAGTAGCACAAGTTTTTCTAGGGTATCTCTAAGTTATTGAATGTCTACATCACTGGGCACAACAATTCTCATGACTTGCAACTCGCAAGGTTTTGGACTACCTCTTAATTATTGAATGGAGCAAATTCCCAGAGTTACCCATTGTATATCCAAGTTATAATAAAATACTTAAACAATAGTGAAAATATCTGGTAGTGTAATAAGCTTGGTTATGTACAGAACTAGAACTTTATGTTTTGAAATTTGAATTTGTTGACTTGTGAAGGCCCGTGCTTGCTATCTGTGTTTTCAGTAAACAAAGGTAGCTGGCAGGAAGTCAGTCTGACTTTTATATTTTCAAGTAAGTTCTGGAGCAACAAATGATGTTAGTCACCGAAATTGTAGTTTTCAAGATTTGTATTGTCAAAATTTTATCGAGGGAAATTATATTGTCCTCAAAGATCAAACATGAGCGTGGAGTGGTCGGCTGTGCACAATTGGAACTTGTCATGGTTGCTCAAACACTTGTGTTGTTGAGTAGATTCTCTTGCTTTCACAAATATTGGTGTTATGTTGTTAAGACTTAGGGTGGTGGCACGCAACGTGGGTTCTTCTCCTCGACCTGGTGCCTCTGCGCAAGCTAAAGCCGTCTAGAGATATGGCTGGCAGTGGGCTAACATAGAAACAATGTTATCATTTAAGACAAAGGTGATTGCAACCAGTAGATCTTTGACTTGTTCAAGAGGGATTAGCTATGGGAATCCTTGTTTCCCTTCGTCTAACTACGCATAGCAGAACGTCCACACAGTGTGCTTCTTTAGTCAAAATATTGGAGCTGACTCTACATAGATGTTCATGGCAATCTTACCCATGCCTACGTCTACATACTTTTTTGATTTGATGACATCATCCTTGGTCCTTGGATGTAGCACAAGTTTTTCTAGGGTGTCTCTAAGTTATTGAATCTCTACATCAGTGGGCACAACAATTCTCATGACTTGCAAGATTTTGGGCTACCTGTTAATTATTGAATGGGGCAAATTCCCAGGATTTTCCATTGTATATCCAAGTTATAATAAATACTTAAACACTTGTGATAATATCTGGAAGTGTGATAAGCTTGGTTATTTACAGAACTAGAACTTTATGTTTTGCAATTTGAATTTGTTGTCTTGTGAAGGCCCGTGCAGGCTATTTATGTTTTCAGTGAACAAAGGTAGCTGGCAGGAAGTCGGTCTGACTTTTATATTGTCAAGTAAGTTCTGGAGCAACAAATGATGTTAGTTCACCGAAATTGTAGTTTTCAAGATTTGTATTGTTCAAAATTTTGTCGAGGGAAATTATATAGTCCTCAAAGATCAAACATGAGCATTGATGTAGTCGGCTGTGCACAATTGGAACTTGTCATGTTTGTTCAGACACTTGTGTTGTTGAGTAGATTCTCTTGCTTTCACAAATATTGGTGTTATGTTGTTAAGACTTAGGGTGGTGGCACGCAATTTGGGTTCTTCTCCTCGACCTGGTGCCTCTGCGCAAGCTAAAGCTGTCTAGAGATATGGCTGGCCATCGGCTAGCATAGAAACAATGTTATCATTTAAGACAAGGGTGCTTCCAACCAGTTAGAAGCATGTTGGCACCTTGTCATCCTATTTTGCTTTTCTTTTTATTTCTTCAAAGTTCCTTCTTTAGTCTTTGAGAGAATAGGAACACGCAGGGGGTTTCATATGGGTGAGGAAAGGTTGAGAGGTCAAATACCACTTGTAAACTGAGGGACAAAGCGCACCAATTGCAAAAATTGTGGACCAGGTGTTTTGGGGCCAGGCCACACTAGATGGAGGTGTTGAGATCCAGTTGCAAAGATTGTAATGTTATCATGTGGTATAACACTAATTGAGATAAAAAGGATGTTGGTAGTTTTCGAAGAAAAGTTTTATATATGGGTAAATAGTAATGGTAGAGATTTCAGAGGAGTGATCCCTTGTTATGTGGTTCCCCAGCCACCCCAACCAAATTGAAAAACCCATCCTTTTCCTTATTTAGAAGAATTGAAGCCTAAATGATGGTATGTGGTTGTGCGGAGAAGGTCTAGGCAGTTTAATGGTTCTATCACTCTCCTCTGTCATTTGGATATTGAGATTTTTGTAGCATTTCTGTATGCCAGAAGGTCACAACATCTAGTAAAACAAAGCATGGGATTTCCTGGTCCACTTCTTTTAGTGAAAAAAATATTATTGAATTTTAAGATTGGGAAATGGAATCTGAAAATCATGTCAGAATTCTTCAGCCTTGACAATGTTACAAGATATCCGGGAGTATAGAAGGTATGATTGGGAAGAGTNATATTATTGAATTTTAAGATTGGGAAATGGAATCTGAAAATCATGTCAGAATTCTTGAGCCTTGACAATGTTACAAGATATCCGGGAGTATAGAAGGTATGATTGGGAAGAGTGGAATCCTTGCTGAATTTATCATATTTGGCAAACTCATTTTTCTATTCATGAGGTTGAAATTTGGAGATTATAAGATGTCATCCTTGTCTATTGAGAAAGAATTTGTGTTGTGAAAGGGGTTTCAATGCTACATATGTGTGGGTTATGCATGTCTGTGTGTGTATTATTGGACCTAATTAGCTTCTAATTGAATGGGGTGTTCTTTAGTAACACTTTTTTTAATTCTTTTTTTGTAATGGTCCTCTCTTTTAATTTGTACAGGTATTTTTTTTTTTATTCAATTCAATGAAGCCAATAGCAGTTGGAAATCTAAACTTGAATTTCAAAATAATTATTGGAACTTATGCTTACATCTATTGAAACAGTGGTCTCAACTATGTAATGCAGACTTGCAAATCAGAGTTTATAGTTGCAAGTGATGTTCGTTTGAATTTGTGGTGAGAAAGGGGTTTCAATGCTACATGTGTGGGTTATGTGCGTCTGTGTGTGTGTGTGTATTGTNAGAAAGGGGTTTCAATGCTACATGTGTGGGTTATGTGCGTCTGTGTGTGTGTGTGTGTATTATTGGACCTAATTAGCTTCTAATTGAATGGGGTGTTCATTAGTAACACTTTTGTTAATTCTTTTTTGTAATGGTCCTCTCTTTTAATTTGTACTGGTAATTTTTTTTTTTGTTGATTCAATTCAATGAAGCCAATTGCAGTTTGAAATCTAAACTTAAATTTCAAAATAATTCTTGGAACTTATGTTTAAAACTGTTGAAACAGTGTTCTCAACTATGTAATGCAGCCTTGCAAAATCAGAGTCTTTAGTTGCAAGTGGATGCAGGATGTGATTTTCAAATTAAACATGCATTTTCTATGATGTTTTTGCCTTTATCTGGCTCCTTCATATGTACCTTTTTTGCTTAAAGCATTATTCAAAGCATGCTCTGATGTAGACAATGGTTTGCTGCTCACCCACTAATTTAATTTATGTTGCTGGTGGATTTGCTGCTCTGCTTGTATGTAATTTTTTTTGCTTTTATTTTTGGAATTTTCCATCTTGGTTTATATTTAGCTTTTCTGAATGCATCTTATATTCCATTTTAATGTATATATCCCTTGATGTGAAGAACTGCATGTGCGGATGGTGGAGAGCATCATATACCTCATTTCCGATTAAGGAATTCCCACAATGGAAAATAATTGGAATTTGGGATTCTCAACTTTGAAATTTTTTGATTTTTGGTACCATATTGATTTGGTAATTGTAAATAAAGTAGCATATTAATATCTACCCATCTCTGGTGAGTGCTTTAAATTATTTGAAGGGGACTCTGAGAATAAGGTAAATTGACTAACTGTTCATTTCTACAGGTAACTTGTTGGTAGGATACTTCTTGTTAAATTTACCAAAGTATGATGTATTAAAAGCCTTGTGAACGGTTCTGATATTTTATTTGGTTACCAATAAAGTTAATTATACAAATATGCCTCTTGAAGCATGCTATTGTTTCAGACACTATAAAAAAAATTTGCTTCAGACACGATCCTTTTGTGCTTGTCAGAAGGCTATTCTTCTATAGCTTTCCATGTAAACACAAGGTCACTCCTTGGGTTTTTTTACAGGTGATGAATTTGACAGACAATATCCAACTTATACTGGATGCTTTGAGAACTTCTGCTCTTGTGGAAGTCCAGGTATCTTTCGTTGTTGCCGAGTGTTCATTCTATTTATGTTCTGGTTCTTTTTGGTAATTCGTTTTTATTTTTTTATAATCACAATCTCTATTCTCTGATTTGTTTTACGTGGTACACAAGAGAACATTGTAACAAGGCTTCCAGCCACAAAGTCAAGCTTATGCTTGCACAGTTGCACCTCTTCACCACATCAGCTAGAACGCGGGGTGGTTGAAATATGCAACATTTGGAAATATTAAAAAATTTATGGTCACCCTTGCTCTTTCTAGCTCTAGCTCTCCTCTCCTCTGAATATGATGCCACATTGCTTACATTGGAAATAGTGCTGCTTTCTGATTTTTTTCATGTTGAACGTCCTACTTCACTGCCTTGCAGGGTGATAAAGTAAGAAGGCGGAATGATTGGATTAGATGGCTATTGCCATCTGCTCAATTTACTACTGCAACAAGTCCTCAGTCCCTTGGAAGGTTTAATCGTGATACTCTAGCTTCCCATCTCCAAAGCTTTACACTGGATGATAAGAATGCCATCCACGGTCTCCCCGAAGTATTCCTTAGTAGATCATCGTCAGGGGAATTGAGTAGCCAATCACAACAATCTGGCGGTGAGAGTACAAGCCAAGTCATAGTTCAAGCTGGATTTGAACACACAACATCTGCAGGATTTTCAAGTAAATGAAAATTGTTCTCTGGAAGCTTTCACTGCCAGTGTTCATACGAGGGATTGAGGAACGTTGAAGTTCAATGATGGTTGTGAAACTACATTTCTATGGAGGTAATGGTCTTGGCTGCATGATGGACAGTGATGTGTGAAAAGCCAACTAGGCAAAACTGAAAAGCCGGAAGAACAATGAGAGAAAAAACTTAAAATGAATAAAAGAGAACATAAAGGAAAGAAAGTTTTATGACTTTTTGAGGTAGTAGCATGAAATTGTTGGGATATATATGTTCTGTTGAGGAATTTTTTTTTTTTTTTTTTTCGTGTTTTATGATTATCCATTGTGGCTTTTGGTTGGCTGGTGTTTCTATAAGGGGAATGTTTTCACCTCCCCATGCTGCCCCTCAGCCGTTTTTTCATAATCTTTGGGGTCAGATATCTCCCATTGTAGAAGGTAAGAAGATAAAATGATGAAGGGAAGCAGGAAAAGGTGTTTTGTTGGATGCTGATGTTCGTGCTACATCAATGTTGGGCTGTTCTTGATGACTTGATGATCTACTTGTTTTTGTTTTTCTGTTTATTGTGACATATAATACTTAAAAACTCGTATGTATACCTTCTTCAAGACCTGTTGAAGATTCTGCTTCATAAATTGCCCTTATAACGGGGACAGATTTTCGGCTTTCAAATTAGGAGACAGCTTTTTGTTGCTTTTATGCCTTACCGTAGATTGGGAGCTTGATGTTTCATTTGCTCAATTCTATATTTTATTAAGAGTAAATATTGTGGATAGGAGAAGTGTTGACACTGAGATGGGATGNAGATTTTCGGCTTTCAAATTAGGAGACAGCTTTTTGTTGCTTTTATGCCTTACCGTAGATTGGGAGCTTGATGTTTCATTTGCTCAATTCTATATTTTATTAAGAGTAAATATTGTGGATAGGAGAAGTGTTGACACTGAGAAGGGATGGGAAGNTTCAAATTAGGAGACAGCTTTTTGTTGCTTTTATGCCTTACCGTAGATTGGGAGCTTGATGTTTCATTTGCTCAATTCTATATTTTATTAAGAGTAAATATTGTGGATAGGAGAAGTGTTGACACTGAGATGGGATGGGAAGGGAAGGGAAGGGATGTCCTCATCATAACTTACCTGTTATGATGGTAGTCATTTGAGGCGTCGATGGTTTTGATCACCTTCCTTTCAATTTCTAAATGTTTGGTATTAGTTGATCTGTTCTACCGCTGTGGCGCTGCCTGATCCTGGATTACGCAGTAAGTAGCATGGGGATGTCAATCCCTGGATTACAACTAGTTTGTCAACTCTGGTAGCCGACTGAGTTCAAAAACTGGGATAGGACTCTGAAATAGGGACTCTTATTCTTTAATCTAGTTATGGAAGATTGAAGTTGTCCAATGATAGGGATGACCAATCCATTAGTGGTGTCCCAGACTCTAGGTCCCTCTAGCCATACGCTGCTTCTCTCCTGGTAGGTCCTGAAACAACTACTTAGGAATAAGAATACATGGTAAACCTCCAAGTTTTGTATCTTTAGGGGAATTCAATGCGATGATTAATTACTGTGGCATCAATGCGACGACTAAGATTGTGGGTTGTAATTAGGCAAGGTTTGAAGGAGTTTTCACTATTCCTAGAGATGCCCTAGACAACATTGTGTGGATTTCAAACAGAAACGACTCTTTTACAGATTCACAGGTAGTCTTAAAAATTAGTAATAATGGAACACCAGGAACACAGCATTTTGTGGTCTTTCAAATCTGTCAAAAATCTCAGTTGCACAGCTCCTATGCAATGGAAACTTTGTTCTTATAGTAAGGGAAGCAAGAGTTCTAGAGCTATATAGGTAGGTGGCAGTGCATTGATTATCGACGTACACTCGGTTACCTCCTCCTGCTGGGCAAGAAGTTGGGGGAAGAGGCTCTGGACATTGTTCTAGACCATTGTTTTCACATCATGGAGGAGTGCCGAAGATTCATCCTTTGGAGGGCTTCACCTACAAAATTCGTAAACGAATTTTGGCTGTGTTGGTTTAATTGTTAGTAAAATAACTTCAAAGGTTTTATCAAGTGATAAAAGGAATAAACTGTAAATTCAGGCATTTTGAGTTTAAATCTTGATAACTTTTTAAGAGTAAGTTATGAAAGATTTATCCAATATGAATATCTTAGTCTCGATATAGATAGTGTCTTTAACTGAAANGGGATGTCAATCCCTGGATTACAACTAGTTTGTCAACTCTGGTAGCCGACTGAGTTCAAAAACTGGGATAGGACTCTGAAATAGGGACTCTTATTCTTTAATCTAGTTATGGAAGATTGAAGTTGTCCAATGATAGGGATGACCAATCCATTAGTGGTGTCCCAGACTCTAGGTCCCTCTAGCCATACGCTGCTTCTCTCCTGGTAGGTCCTGAAACAACTACTTAGGAATAAGAATACATGGTAAACCTCCAAGTTTTGTATCTTTAGGGGAATTCAATGCGATGATTAATTACTGTGGCATCAATGCGACGACTAAGATTGTGGGTTGTAATTAGGCAAGGTTTGAAGGAGTTTTCACTATTCCTAGAGATGCCCTAGACAACATTGTGTGGATTTCAAACAGAAACGACTCTTTTACAGATTCACAGGTAGTCTTAAAAATTAGTAATAATGGAACACCAGGAACACAGCATTTTGTGGTCTTTCAAATCTGTCAAAAATCTCAGTTGCACAGCTCCTATGCAATGGAAACTTTGTTCTTATAGTAAGGGAAGCAAGAGTTCTAGAGCTATATAGGTAGGTGGCAGTGCATTGATTATCGACGTACACTCGGTTACCTCCTCCTGCTGGGCAAGAAGTTGGGGGAAGAGGCTCTGGACATTGTTCTAGACCATTGTTTTCACATCATGGAGGAGTGCCGAAGATTCATCCTTTGGAGGGCTTCACCTACAAAATTCGTAAACGAATTTTGGCTGTGTTGGTTTAATTGTTAGTAAAATAACTTCAAAGGTTTTATCAAGTGATAAAAGGAATAAACTGTAAATTCAGGCATTTTGAGTTTAAATCTTGATAACTTTTTAAGAGTAAGTTATGAAAGATTTATCCAATATGAATATCTTAGTCTCGATATAGATAGTGTCTTTAACTGAAAAGATTAATTGAGATGCATAAAAATTGATTCAAATACCTTTAACAAAAAAAAAAAAAACAAANTTAAATCTTGATAACTTTTTAAGAGTAAGTTATGAAAGATTTATCCAATATGAATATCTTAGTTTCGATATAGATAGTGTCTTTAACTGAAAAGATTAATTGAGATGCATAAAAATTGATTCAAATACCTTTAACAAAAAAAAAAATAATAATANAAACAACTACTTAGGAATAAGAATACATGGTAAACCTCCAAGTTTTGTATCTTTAGAGGAATTCAATGCGATGATTAATTACTGTGGCATCAATGCGATGACTAAGATTGTGGGTTGTAATTAGGCAAGGTTTGAAGGAGTTTTCACTATTCCTAGAGATGCCCTAGACAACATTGTGTGGATTTCAAACAGAAACGACTCTTTTACAGATTCACAGGTAGTCTTAAAAATTAGTAATAATGGAACACCAGGAACACAGCATTTTGTGGTCTTTCAAATCTGTCAAAAATCTCAGTTGCACAGCTCCTATGCAATGGAAACTTTGTTCTTATAGTAAATGAAGCAAGAGTTCTAGAGCTATATAGGTAGGTGGCAGTGCATTGATTATCGACGTACACTCGGTTACCTCCTCCTGCTGGGCAAGAAGTTGGGGGAAGAGGCTCTGGACATTGTTCTAGACCATTGTTTTCACATCATGGAGGAGTGCCGAAGATTCATCCTTTGGAGGGCTTCACCTACAAAATTCGTAAACGAATTTTGGCTGTGTTGGTTTATTGTTAGTAAAATAACTTCAAAGGTTTTATCAAGTGATAAAAGGAATAAACTGTAAATTCAGGCATTTTGAGTTTAAATCTTGATAACTTTTTAAGAGTAAGTTATGAAAGATTTATCCAATATGAATATCTTAGTCTCGATATAGATAGTGTCTTTAACTGAAAAGATTAATTGAGATGCATAAAAATTGATTCAAATACCTTTAACAAAAAAAAAAAAAACAAAATAATAAAAAATAAGCAGAGCATCATTGAAAAACTACAGACAGGGCCCGGAATGACCTTCAATTGAGTGGCCTCCCCACCTTCAGGAATCCAGCTTTTTACACACATATATTCGTCCTCAATTAGAACAGGTTTTGATTTTTTTTTTTTTGAGTTTTATATCTGACTCTGAGCCTTCCAATACATCAGTCATTACAAGAGTCACTTCGAATCAATCAGTCTTGCTCCAACTCTATCTAAATGGAGGAAGAAGGAAGTAAATGAGTAAATTATAGTACCCAAAATTTATATTTTTATTTTTTCCCAATCACAATAAAGCAAGGTACTTGTAAACTTTTTTATATTTTATAATTTTATTTTACTTTAATATGTTTTGTGTTAACTACTTATTTAATCCCTAAAATATATTATTTTGTGTCTGATAGTACTCAGAGTAATTTCAAAACATGAGGTTAGACCAAAAGGTCAGACGAGCAGGTCTGAAAATTGAGTCAGGGAAGACACGCAGAGTTCAGGTCAGAGCTAGAGCTCTTTTCTCCACCCCCCAGGCACGCCAACGGCGGAAGTGATAAGGAAACAGCTGGATGATAACGAAATCTGTTAGGTGGCAAAGAGCCGTGTTCAAGGCATAAAACCCTTGATCACCCAAGATCATCTCCTAAGATTAAGGAGAGTTCCTCGGATAAATAGCAAGGATCTCGGAGTAGATCCCATAGAATTCGGAACAACCCTATAAATATTATTTAACTCTCCCAAAAGAACAAAAAAAACATTAGTATCATATACCCTACCCTGTAAACCTTCTGAGGGAGTAATAAAAAGAAAAGGAGCAAGAGTCTTCATTGAAAAGTGGATTAACCGAGTTCTCGAGTTGGTGAACCACTATAATCTTATTGTATCAATTCCCCAATTTTTCATCGATTGCTCTTTCGAGCCTCGTAACTCAGATCCTAATAGTCGGATACTGATCATTTCATCTGCTCATTACCATAAATTTACATCACATTGAGTTACACCATCAGTTTGGCGTCGTTTGTGAAAAACGATTGTTTCTGTTACAAATATGCTAATCTTTCAGTGACTGATGGTTTCAACCCGTAACATGAGCAGAAGCTAGACCTATCTACCACGAATGCAAGAACAACAGGAAGCCACCAACGATAAACAGCCTAAAA